TCTGTGATGCCGGCTTTCTTGCTTGGTCTGAAGCCTCATTAACTCTAGGGTAAGCCTCCACCACAAACTGCGTAGTTTAAAACAACAGGTTCTGTTCTCTCACAGTTCTGGAAGCTGGGATCCAAAATCAAGGTGTCGGCAGGGCCATGCTCCCACTAGGACTTGGGTAGAATCTCTCCGTGCCTCTTCCCAGCTTCTAGGGGTGACAGAATCCTTGGCTTGTGGTTACATCACTGCAGTCATTGTTTCTGTCATCACATGGAATTCTTTGTGTCTCTTTCTTCTCCTACTTCTTCCCTCCTCCTCCTCCCCCTCCTCCTCCTTCTCCTCCTTCTTCCAGGCATTTTTTATTTTTTCCCTTTATTTCATTTTTATTCATTTGATTTTTTATTTTTTAAATGTATTTTATTAATTTTTTACAGAGAGGAAGGGAGATAGATAGAGAGCTAGAAATGTCGATGAGAGAGAAACATCGACCAGCTGCCTCCTGCACACCCCCCACCAGGGATGTGCCCGCAACCAATGCACATGCCCCTGACAGGAATCAAACCTGGGACCCCTCAGTTTGCAGACCGACGCTCCACCACTGAGCCAAACTGACTTCGGCCATTTTTATTTTCTTTTTGCTTGCTATCAGAGGGACAGGGGGAGGGAGCAAGAGATAGAAGCATCAATGATGATAGAGAATCATGGATTGGCTGCCACCTGCACATCCCACACTGGGGATCGAGCCCACAAACCGGGCATGTGCCCTGATGGGAATCAAACCTGTGACCTTCTGGTTCATAGATCAACATGAAACCACTGAGCCCCACTAGCCGAGCTGTGTGCTTCTGTCTTTACGTGGCATTTTCCTCTCTTGGGATAACCGTGTCCTAGTGGATTAGGGACCACTCTGGCGACCTCACCTTAACTTGGTTGTGTCTGCAAAGATCTTATTTCCAAGTGAGGTCGCATTCAGAGGTACCAGGGCCAGGACTTCAAACCATGTCTCTGGAGGGACCCAAGGCAGCCCTCAACAGTCACAACGTCACGTATGTAGTCTTTGTTTCCAATGGGCGCTTGAACGTGATTATGAGGAAACAGGACAACCCCAGGTGGAAGGCTTTCCTACAGGATAACTGGTGTCTAGTCTCATAAAATGCCTACAAAGAATGGCCTGGCCTGGAGCAGCCAGGCCCGAAACAGCTCGCTCCTCGCCTGCCCCTGCCCCACGGCGGCCTCTCAGACATGGCTGGAAACTTTTGCGGGAACTTGAGGGTCTGCTGAATCAAGTGATGAAGGCTTAGACCTGGATGTGTTGAGTTAGTATAGGGCTGGGGTGTTGATCTGTGAGTGCCTTGGGTGGGGCCTGGATGAGGCTGGTTGACCTATTTGGAAATGTGAAGTGTATCATTGGGCATGTGGAGGTATTATTGTTTTTGTTTTTTTTAAATAAATCTTTATTGTTCAGATTATTACAAATATGATCCTCTTCCCCCCCTCAATTGCTCCCCTTCACCAGGTTCCCACCCCACCCTCTGTCCTTTCCCCATCCCCCATTGTCCTCATCCATAGGTGCACAGTTTTTGTTCAGTCTCTTCCCGCACCCCCACTCCCCTTTTCCCCGAGAATCGTCAGTCCACTCCCCTTCCATACCTCTGATTCTATTATATTCACCAGTTAATATTGTTCATCAGATTTTTAAATTCCCTTGGTTTTTAGATTCACTTGTTGATAGCTACGTATTTGTTGATCATAATTTTTATCTTTATCTTCTTCCTCTTCCTAAATAACCTCCTTCAGCAATTCATATAATTCTGGTTTGGTGGTGATGAACTCTTTTAGCTTTTTTTTATTTGTGAAGCTCTTTATCTGTCCTTTGATTCTGAGTGATAGCTTTGATGGGTAGATTATTTTTGGCTATAGGTTCTTGTTATTCATCACCTTGAATATTTCTTGCCATTCCCGTCTGGCCTGCATGGTTTCTGTTGAGAAATCAGCTGACAATCTTATGGGTGCTCCTTTATAGGTTACTACCTGCTTTTCTCTTGCTGCCTTTAATATTCTCTCTTTGTCTTTTGCTCTTGGAATTTTAATTATGATGTGTCTTGGTGTGGTCCTCCTTGGATTCCTTTTGTTTGGGGTTCTGCGGACTTCTTGGACTTGTAAGTCTATTTCTTTCCCCAGGTGGGGGAAGTTTTCTGTCACTATTTCTTTCAATATTCTTTCTGTATCTTGCTCTCTCTCTTCTGGAATCCCCATAATTCTGATGTTGGTTCGCTTGAAATTGTCCCAGAGGTTTCTTACACTATCTTCAACTTTCTGGATTCTCTTATCTTCTCCCTTCTGCAGAGGAGTGTCCTCTGGCTCTTTGTGTTCTAAGTCTTTGTCTTGATTCTTGCGATCTTCCAGTCTGTTTTTAGGACTTTGTATAATATTTTTTATTTCAGACAATGTTTTCTTCATTTCTTGTTGATCCCTTATTATTTCTAGTTGCTCCCTTGTCATATCCTCATAGGTCTCATTTATTTTATCGGACTTTTTTAGGATATTGTTGAATAACCTTATAACTGTAGTTTTGAACTCCATGTCCAATCTTTTCTTTTCCTCCATCTCCTTCCTTTGTCTCCTTCCTCTTGTCTGCATTTTAGTTTCCCTGATTTGATGGAATAGCTTTGTGTTCTAGATGTTCTGGTAGAGCCAGTATCACAGCCTTCCCAGTTACCTGAGGTGGACAGTCTTGGTGTAGCCCTTTGTGGGCTGTGTGTGCAGTCTTGTTGTTAAGCCTTGCTTATTGTTGGTATCACTGGGAAGCGTTGATCTCCAAGCCAATTGGCTGTGAGGATCAGCAGTCTCTCAGCTAGGAGGGTTTCCGTACTCTGCTTGGATAGGGCTGGGTCTCGGGGTGGCGCAGACAATCTTTGGTTCCCTGTCAGTCTCGCCTTAGAAAAGTCCTGTTCGTGGAGAGTTTTGGAAGATTGGTTGCAGGCGCACGCGCACCTCTTTGGTAAAGGCGCAGACAAGCTTTGGATTCCTGCCAGTCCCTCCTTAGAGAAAGCCAGCCTCTGGGAGAGCTTCTGTGCTCAGCCACAGGTAGGGTGGAGTCTCGGGTTGGTGCAGACAAACTTTGTTTTCCCTTCGGCTCCTCCCCAAGTCCCGCAGTAATGGCCTCTGGCTTCACACACCTCCAAGAGATCTCTGCCCACTGCCTGACAGTCTGGCCTCTCCCTGTCTGGGGCCGTTTATCAGAGCAATAGGGTGATTCTGTTTTCCTCTCGGACAAGAAAGCCAGCCGCGTTAGCTGTTCGCCCTCTCCGCACTCAGCCCGGCCCGCCCTCTCTGAGTGCAGGGAGTAAGCCAGCAGCAATCTCGGTCCGGCCCTTCCTCTCCACACCAGGATTAAGCCAGCGCCTTTTCGCGCACACAGTTCTCCGTACCTTCACAGTTCCTGAGGTTCAGTGTGCCTTCTCTCTCCTTCCCAGATGGCAGAGCCTCCTCTCAGCCAGCCATCTGGCGCTTCAGGGCAATGCCCCCCCTGTTTTTCAGTTCTAAATTCAAATTTATTGTGGTAGGCTGCATTCGGGTGTCTACCCTATGCCACCATCTTGGTTTCTTTTTGGAGGTATTATTGATATGAGAAAATGCTAAGTAACTGATTTACTATCTGAAAAGGGATTTACTATCAGGGAAAGGGAGGGAGGAAGAGACTGAACATAAACTGTGCACCTATGGATGAGGACAATGGGGGATGGGGAGGGGTATGAGGGTGGGGTGGGAACTTGGTGGAGGGGGGAAGAAATGAGGAACCTTTTTAATAATATGAACAATAAAGATTGATTAAAAAATAAATAAAAGATAGTGATAATCTGAAAGAAAAGAAAAAAAAGAACGGCCTGGGCCCTGTTTCAGGTTAAAGTAGGTTCAAGGGCCATCACGTTTGAATGGAATTCGTGGTTTTGAGTGTTCCTTTGCTATAAAGGGCGTTGTAGGGACAATGGATGAAAACGGAATAATGTCTGCAGAGTAAATGAGAAAAATATGGTACCAGGTTCATTTATCGATTTTGATAATCGTGTTGGGGTTTAGGTAAGAGGTCCCTTTGTTTCCAGGAAATACACCCGGAGGAAGGAAACTTCCTGAAAAACCAACCGAACAGGATCTGCCATGGTCTCTTCCATCTTGTCCAGCGGGACCGCCCTCCCCTGTCCCCTCGGCGCCTCCTGCCTGGCTTTGCCCCGGACTCCGGCCCCTCAGGGCGCCCGCGGCCCGGGCTCCGTGCTCCCCTCTGGGGGCGGCCCTTCCCCTCCGGCCCTCAGGAGGGGCCCGCTGGTCCGGAGGGAGGAGCCGGCGGCCTGCGAGCCCCGAACCCCGGGCCGAGGGGCCGTTTCCGTCCGTCCGTTTCCCAGACGCGCCCCCTCCCGGCCCGCGTGTCCCCCCCGGACGGACCGCGGCCGCTCTCCCGCCCCCGGTCCCGGCCCCGCGGCCCGACGGGGCCTCCGTCTGAGCCGAGCGGCCACGGGAGGGCGCCGCTTCTGGGCCCCGAGGGGAACGGACACGGGTGCGTGTGGTTTCCGGGGACGGAAGGGAGAGCGAGCCCGGCCCGGCCCGCACCCCCGGGGGGGAGGGGGCGCCGTGACAGCTGCGGGGCGGCGGGGGCGGCGAGCCCCGGGCCCCCTCCCGGGCCGGGCCCCGTCTCCTCGCGGCCAGCAGCGCGCAGGGCCCGGATCCGACCCCGGAGACCCGGCGCCGGGCTGTCAGGCCGGGGGCGTGGCGTATGCAGATGAGCAGCAGCGCAGGGGCTGCCGGGCCCACGCGGCCTGCGCCCCCAGGTCCCCGCACCCGGAGATGGCAGCGCCCCCGGGGTTGCTGTGGCGACGGGCGCGGTGGGCGCTCGGGTCCTGGGGCGGCGGGGGCGCAGGGGCGTGCGGAGCGGAGTGACCGTGTGTGAAGGGTGAGTGGTGGCTGTAGGTGAGGGAGGAGGCGGGGTATGCAACTCATACTTACCTGGCAGGGGAGACACCATGATCACGAAGGTGGTTTTCCCAGGGCGAGGCTCATCCATTGCACTCCGGCTGTGCTGACCCCTGCGATTTCCCCAAATGTGGGAAACTCGACTGCATAATTTGTGGTAGTGGGGGACTGCGTCCGCGCTCTCCCCTGGGCTTCTCGTTACAAAAAGTAGGATAAACAAGCCTAGTGTAGTGTGGCTCTTTGTGTTGCTAACTCTTCTAAGATGGAAATATTGTAGGGTTTCTTTTTATTTTTTTTGCATTCTTTTCTCTCCTGGCTTACTAGCTAAACCTTCTGTTTATTAACCCCCCACGTGCAAGTTTCCATCAGACATAAATGGAAGTGCCTGATTGTGGGTTGTTGGGTTTCCCTCAAAGTGCAGGTTGGTAATGAGAGGTGGTGGAAAGTCCTGTCCTGCAGCAGCTGCTCATTGTGTTAGTTACCTGCAGCCAAGGCTGTTCTACCTAGAGGGCTCCTTAAAGATTTCAGAGACAAATGGAGATAGAAACACCAATGATCAGAGAGAATTATTGATCGGCTGCCTCTTACACGCCCACCCCGACCCCTGCTCCCCCACCCCCACCCTCCGCTGGGGTTCAAGCCTGCAACCCGGCATGTGCCCTGAAGGGGATTTGAACCGTGACCTCCTGGTTCAGAGGTCCATCCTCAACCACTGAGGTAAACCGGCAGGGCAATCCCTATTCTTGGGAATTGGTTTTGTATAAAATTTGAGTGAAGATGGACATATTGATAAACCCAAAACTAATTTAATATATCAAGTATTACACTGGACTGAAACCGGTGTGGCTCAGTGGATAGAGCGTCGGTCTGTGGACTGAGAGGTCCCAGGTTCGATTCCGGTCGGGGGCATGTACCATGGTTTCGGGCACATCCCCAGTGGGAGGTGTGCAAGAGGCAGCTGATCAATGATTCTCTCTCATCGATGTTTCTAACTCTCTATCCCTCTCTCCAAAAAAAAATCAATAAAATATATTAAAAATATTATTAATAATAATTACACTGAAATACACAAATAATAAATTTCTTGGGAAATAATTTTATTTAATATTACCTGCTCAAGTACATTTTAAAGTCTAGTATTGCCGAAACCGGTTTGGCTCAGTGGTAGTCTGCGGACTGAAAGGTCCCAGGTTCGATTCCGGTCAAGGGCATGTACATTGGTTGCGGACACATCCCCGGTGGGGGGTGTGCAGGAGGCAGCTGGTCGATGTTTTCCTCTCATCGACATTTCTGGCTCTCCATCTATCTCAATTCCTCTCTGTAAAAAATCAATAAAATATATTTTTTTTAAAAATAAAAATAAAAGTCTAGTATTTTCCATTCACTTTTGAAATATTTCTCTTCTGATTTCAGTAGCATTTTATGTATGGGAACTTGTACAGAATTTAGATGTCAAAAATAGTTTCTATTCTTTTCTTGCTTTGTGTAGCCTTTTTGGACTCAGATTTCTTTTTTTTTTTTATCAGTGAAAAGTGTTTATTTTTATTTATTTAAATATATATTTTTTTATTTTTTACAGAGAGAAATGGAGAGGTATAGAGAGTTAGAAACATCAATCAGCTGCTTCCTGCACACCCACTACTGGCATTTGCCCGCAACCAAGGTACATGCCCTTGATTGGAATCGAACCCGGGACCCTTCAGTCCACAGGCCGATGCTCTATCCACTGAGCCAAACCGGCCAGGGCGAAAAGTGTTTATTTTTAAATTGAAAGGGGGAAGGGAGTAACACAGCGGCAACTTTTGGCATCTTCTTTTCAGGCTATCACATCCATTTACTCCCCAACCCAAAGCACTGACAGGAGGGGCCCCAAGAACAGGCTGAGGGGCCAGGTTGTCCCACAGTCAGTCAGAGAGCGATCTGTGCAGCCGTGGAGAGGTGGGAGTGAAGAGTCTGTCCCAGCCCCTCTGTCCTGAAGCAGAGTTAGAGCTCAGGGGCAGAGGGCTCCCACTGGGTGAGGACACCCGCAATTCAGCATCATGCCTCACCAGGTGAAGAGCCCCCCGCTGCCCGCAGAGCCATCACCATGACCGCAGAGCGGCTGCTGAACACGTTCCCGCCCCGAGGGCCAGTTTTGCGCTCACTGTCCTGAAGGACGAGGAGCCCCAGCCAGGCCGGCAAGTGCAGGGGCGCCCGGAACCAGGTGAGTGCACCCGCTGCTCGGTCTCCGGGATCACCTTTCTCCGCAGGAAGCTCATGCAGGCCAATTCGATAAGCAGGAAGGCTCTGAAGGCCTCCACGGGACTCTCCTGGCCTGGCCTGGTGGAGAAGGTCAGCATGAAGAGGGAGAGGACAACGATGAGGACGGCAAGGGGGAGCAGGTGCATAGGCGCAAAGTGGTAACCTCTTCCAGGTAGCGATGCCGTACGAGGAAGAGCCGAGCAGGCTGGCCGCCGTGAAGCTGGAGGAGATGATGCCCAGTGGGGCCCCGTGGGGGTCCAGCACAGGTGCCCAGAGGAAGACAAAGACGAAGATGGCACATCCAACAGGGCTTGTATGGAGCTAGCAGCAGCACACGGCGGTCCGACAGGCGCCCGGCTCAGGTCCTGGAGAAGGCGCGCGGCCGATCTATTAGTTCTCTCCCCAGTTGTGAAGGGCCAGGCAGGGCCCAGCCAGAGCCTGGAGAGGGACGGCAGCCGCCAAGGGCGCTACAGGCCCTAGTGCCCTCCGGCTGCACCGCTGCCACCACAGCCAGGACACGTTCCGGGAGGCAGCGCGGGCAGAGGGAGGGGGGCCGCGCACAGGGAAGTCGAGCGGCTCCTGGGGCTCACGGATGAGCCAGGCCTCGGAGGCAGAGAAGAGCGGGGCGGCCGACCGGCAGCACCAAGCCGTCCGGGGAGCGTCTGGCTGGGCAGCACCGGGAGGTGAGGGGGGAGAGGACACGAGACTTCTTTGGGCCCAGGCGATCCACCAGGGAGGAGGCCGCCGGCCCAAAGAGGACCGCGGAGGAAGGCCACAGGCAGGGGGGGGTAAGGCTGCCAGAGGTCTGAAGCCCGTGGGCTGCCAGGGCCAGGAAGGAGGCCTGACAAAGGCCTGACGAAAGCCCAGCAGAACCCGAACGAAGGCGGGATTGCTGCAGGCCCCTCCCCGGGGCTCAGGCTGGCACGTGGGCAGCTCCAAGCCCGGGCGGGCAGGAGGACCAGAGACAAGGTGGGCAGTCACCGGCATGGCGGCCCCGGACAGCCTGCTGCCCGGTCAGCGGGCGCGCCCGCCAGCCGCTCCTCCTCCGGCCCGGCCCCGGGCTCCCGCGGCGCCGCCCTCGCCGCCTGCTGCCGGGAGCCGGCAGGATGGTCACCGGCGTGATGGTCCCGTCACGTCTGGACTCAGAATTTTCAGTATTTAAATACCACTTAGAGAAACCAGTTTTCGGTGAAAAACTAATTTGCCTCGTCTGTCAGTTTTTAAAATATATTTTATTGATTTTTATACAGAGAGAAAGGGAGAGAGATAGAGAGTTAGAAACATCGATGAGAGAGAAAGTCATCGATCAGCTGCCTCCTGCACACCCCCTACTGGGGATGTGCCCGCAACCAAGGTACATGCCCTTGACCGGAATCGAACCCGGGACCCTTCAGTCCCCAAGCCGACGCTCTATCCATTGAGCCAAACCGGTCCCGGCTCCTCTGTCAATTTTTAAAATATATTACTTTTATTGATTTCAGGGGAGGGAAGAGAGAGAGATAGAAATATCAATGATGAGTCCTGACCGGTTTGGCTCAGTGGATAGAGCATCTGCCTGCGAACTGAAAGGTTCCAGGTTCGATTCTGGTCAAGGGCATGTACCTTGGTTGCGGGCACATCTCCAGTAGGGGTGTGCAAGAGGCAGCTGATCGATGTTTCTCTCTCATCGAAGTTTCTACCGTGTTTCCCCAAAAATAAGACATCATCCAAAAATAAGACCTACTTACAGGTTTCCTTCTGAGTGAAACATAAAGCATCCCCCCGAAAATAAGGCCGCCCTAAGCTAAACATGAGAGATTTGGTCCACTGATTCTGAAAGAAATGGAGTCACAAAAAATTCACCAGAAAATTCAGAAATTGGATTGTTATGATGATGTTCCAGAAGATGATGACATGATTGTCATTGAATAAATGAGCAAATTTTTTAAAATATATTTTATTGATTTTTACAGAGAGGAAGGGAGAATGATAGAGAGCCAGAAATGTCGATGAGAGAGAAACACCGACCAGCGGCTTCCTGCACATCCCCGATGTGCCTGCAGCCAACGTACATGCCCTTGACTGGAATCAAACCCGGGACCTTTCAGTCCGCAGACCGACGCTCTACCACTTAGCCAAACCAGTTTTGGCTGAGTAAATTCTTGATACTGTAGGATTCAGTTTGGTTTGTGTTGATAACTACTGTAGTACCGTACCATATACAGCTAACAAATTTCCTTTATTTTCAGTATTCTTCATGGAAAAATAAGACATCCCCTGAAAATAAGACCTAGCGCATCTTTGGCAGCAAAAATTAAGACTGTCTTATTTTCAGGGAATCAGGGTAACTCTCTATCCCTCTCTCTTCCTCTCTGTAAAAAATCAATAAGATATATTAAAAAAAAATAAAAATAATAATCCCGGCTGGTGAGGCTCAGTGGTTGAGCATTGATCCATGAACCATGAAGTCACTGGCTCATTTCCTGGCTCAGCATGTGTTGAGGTTGCAGTCTAGATCACCAGTTTGATGTGTGTGTGTGTGTGTGTGTGTGTGTGTGTGTGTGTGTGTGAGATGGGGTCAGCTGATTGGTGTTCCATTAATGTCCTATCACCCTTTCTCTAAAGTAACAATATATATATAATTAATAACTTAATAACTACTAATGCAGAAAGAGACGTACAGAATCCCTCATTCCCAACCTGCACTTGGAGGAGAAAGCACCTCTTAAAAGTTATCTGCCCCATTAAGTAAATAAATGAGAAAAATCTGAGTGAACCTGCCACTTCTTTTGTAACCGAGAAGCCCAGGGGAGAGCGCGAACGCAGTCCCCCACTACCACAAATTATGCAGTCGAGTTTCCCACATTTGGGGAAATCGCAGGGGTCAGCACAGCCGGAGTGCAATGGATGAGCCTCGCCCTGGGAAAACCACCTTCGTGATCATGGTG